ACCCTCGGATTACTCTTCTGAACGCCGAGTAGAGTCTCACGATCCACTTAGGCCCTTAACAAGTTTGTAATAGAAAAAAATTAATTCGACTAAATTTCACAGTCGCCTTATTCGAGAGTCTTCCATCCAACATCAACTGACATATATAAAATGCGATCGAGAAATTTAATCAATTGACGTATTATATTAGATCGTTACATAAGAACCTTCGTTCGATTTCATGTCCCCATATTCATATCTGCCAACAAAACAATATTTATTTCTATATCGCGAGGACAATATGTCGAATTAAATTTGCTTCGTCATTAATTTCTATCACCCCATGTCGACAAATGACATTTTAGAAGAGAGCGAAGGCAATAAATCTGAGACAATCTTTATTCTCGCATCGATTCGTATCCATTGCGCTCATCTGTCAACAAGACGGCATTTCGACGTTGAAGCGTTGAACATTATATTTCGATAGAATTCCTCCTACTCTTGACAGATTCTCGAACGAGCCGGTTTAATCTTACCGTTAGGACTTGCGATGGGGGAAAAAGATATCATTTTGGTAAACTACCATCTGGCGACGTCACTCGCTTTTCATAAAGAAACCCGAAAGCGAGTGCAGCGTTCTCTGTTCCGTAGAATGATGACGACGACAACGACGACGTGGCCTCCGGCGCCTTGTTACTTCGCTCAATTTCTATTTTCCTACATTGAAGTGGATATCGAATCTCTTTCTCTTTCTTCTCTATCGCATTTTTATCCGCATTTTATCCGCCTCTTTCTTCATAACCATGGCTAGCTCGAATAAACAGCACCGTCGTCACAAACTCGAAACAACCTATCCGTTTTATCGAGGCAAATATGCTCAAGATCTGTACGCGCGAATATCATTTTCTGTTCGCGTTTCTTCTTCCTCGTCCTTCTTGAGAATTACCCGCTTTCATTGCTGCCGCTACGAAAACATAAAACTCGTGGATGGTCCGCGAGAGCATCATCATGATGTGTTATATCTATATTGCAACTCTCTTATTACATTTGATTTGATTTGAAGTTACTTAGAGTTTTGAATTACCTCCTTCGTCACACCAAAAGCAAAAATAATCAAAAGTTATAATTCATATCATTGACTTGTTTCTTAATTCGAGATTGTTTGTCTAATTATATCAATATAACGATAAAATTATCTTTAAATATTAAATTTAAATATTTTATAAAATTTAAATATTAAATATATTTTATAGAACTCTTTTCACATAAATTTATGAAATATTCCATCTTTAAAAGTAAAATTTTTACTCAAAAGCATGGAATTTATTGTTAGAGAACTAAAAACTAATAAAAATTTTATCATTTGCCGATAGCGTTGCTAAATTTTTAATAGCTGCAATCCGAATAGTTTCTTCGACTTTTTTTTGTACTTTAGAATGACTTGGAATAAGCGTATCCAAGTTATGGAAACTTCCTGTGTAACGTGTTTTCAGGGCACTTTGTTTTCAGGGCACTTTAATAAAATATGTTATATTATGCCCGCGCTCGGACGATATTAAAGTTTGCCAATGTTTGCACGTTGCTGGCGCGTCATAGCCCCATATTTACCGAAGAATCCTTTCTCGGAAGAGAGACAGCGGGCAAGTTTATTTAATAACACGTAGAGCAACGTCCGGGGAAAAAAGGGTCGCGGGAGAAAGAGGCACTTCAAAATAGCGCTTCGAATAGAAGCTGGTAGGATAGAATCAAAAGGAAACTACCGAGGTAGGTTGCCGCTCAAGGATATCCGAGATCCTCGAGAAAGTTCGTGAAAGGCACATCTCGTAGATTTTTGTAATTCGAGAAAACGAAGGATGTACGCGCTTGCGAGTTTGATTGTTCCAAAGCAGCGGCTTTCGTCACGTTTTCGCTGTGCTAATCCATTTGCTTCTAGCATCCTTCATCAAAAACATAGAACAGTAAAATTCTAACATACAATTTCCGTTTAAATAAAAATGTGAATTTATTTTCTATTAATAAAATTACTCAAACATTGAAAATTTTAATTAGAAATCTATGGTACTTACATAATTCTTTTCCTCCATTTTTAATTGATGAAAAAAATTATTTGAAATTCTGATGAAATTTTTGATATCTGCATTTGCAAAAGAATGCAAAATTTTTGCTAATTGTCGCGTTTTTGCTAATTTCATTTTTCAGTTACAAATAAATGTAGAAATCAAAATTAATGCTAATCTAAAACTTCTTAAAAATTTTTTGTAGCTACAGATTATGAAATAATCAAATTTTCAAAAAGTAACAAAAAGCCGATACTGAAAGACTTAACGACTAGATGTCTGAGACAAATGTCTTCCGCGTGGAAAAAAGCACAGAATATTCGATGGTTCCTCTATTGTGGGAAACATATTGTTCAGAAATAAGAAAGAGAAAAATGATATCCCGGTATTACGAAGCAGATCAACTCTATTCAAAGAATATACTTTCAACAGAATGAAGTGCACGAAGCGACTTAGACATTTAGAAAGAGACTATTTTTCCATTTTTATTTTTATCATATCGTGCTTTTAGTATATTAGAATATTTAGATATTGAAATAAAAATTTTCATTTGATTTCCTTTCGTTATTAATAACGTAATAATACCTTAGTATTAACATTGACACTAATCGAAAGAAAAGTTGTCCCGAGGAATTCCATTCATAGATCATTTCGCTAAATTTGATGAAGTACATTGTTTGTCACATGTTGTCACACTGCAATGTTTGTCACATTGCTTTTATTGACTTAACTGAAAACACCGCACCAAAATACAATTGCATTGACGAACTTTGCCGCGATTACTCTTTTTTACTCTCATTCGCAACCCATGAAACCTCTTCATGAAAACTCGTTGGAACGGCCGCTCGACGGTAACCACGATGGCTAGCAGCAAACTGGAGGGAAGTTTTTATCACGCGTCTGAAAGACCGATAAATTAAATTGCCCTTAGCTCTTAACTACGAAATAATGTAATCGTTCTCTCACTTTTGAAACAAATTCGATTTTTGCGATTTGGAGTGATGAATATACCACGGTTTTGTTAATACGAATATAACATCCACAAGAAGAATTGGTGCAATGGTAAAATTTTTGTTAAGAAGTTGAAGAAGTGGAAAAAGTAATCTTAATTATTAAAACAGTAAAAAAATTGGAATCAAATTTTAAAAAGTGAGATTTGAAGATTTTTTAATACCCTACAATCTCAGAGAAAATCTGGTCTTAATATCTCAGAAGTTTGATAAAAGTCTAACCATTTATTTTCTCGATTGTCATTGTGCCGTAGTGCCATTCGTTTATCTCGAAATTTAGTTGAACGATCGATAAAACTTCCTGCACGTAATTTTAACAAGTAGCAGTTCGAAAGTGACGCAAGTGTAACGCGAAACCAGCCAGTATCGATATGAGCCTTAAGCAAAAAAAAAACGGAAAACGATCTTGCTACTTCAATTTCACGGTACACACGCAAAAGTGTAATTTTTTAATGCACCCGACCGCGTCGGAAATTCTCTGTGAAAAGTTTCGCCGCAAATGTGCCGCGATATACGCGAGATTTCCTTTGTTACGACAATTTGGCGCATCGTCGAAGTTTACTTCTTTTCGCGCTGTTTTGTTCACAAACCGCGCAATATAGACTAACTATCCAAAAAAGGGAAGTTCTTATCTTCACTACTTTTTTCTTTCTATTTCACAATGAAGAAGAAGAAAAAGAAGAAAAAAAAAGACAAAGAGCAGATAGAAGGAATTTTCACCTATTAAATTTTACCTTCCCCATCTCGTGTCTAATACTGATGTTTGACCCTCGCGAAACCTTTCTTCGCGAGCTCTACAAAATAATTTAATTCCACATTGAGTCGCTTATGGAATTATCTTACATTGCCGGTAGTGGCGGTTATCCACTTCCTTGTACACCTAGCGTCGTCCCAAAGAACGTGGTAGATGTGTAGTGCCGATAAGAGATGTAATTAGTAGCAGCGTGAAGAGCACTGATATCGGGGAAAGTGGCGGAGAAGAATTTCTATTTAGCCGCAGTATCATTTAAACGATATCATTCCTAACGTTTCGTTTCAAGAAAACAAATTTTAATCGTACGTTTAAAAGGCAATAAAACTCATTAACTGATGTGATGAAAATCATTTAATGATATAATTTTAGTCATTACTAAAATATTTTATCGTCTTTTTTGTAATGTTTTAAACTTTTTATGTGATTCTAATTAAGACGAGTATATAGTAAATATTTTCGAGATATTTTAATAAAACTTTTTTTTATACATAATTATCCCACATAAACGAGAATCACAGAAGTATGAAAATAATTAGTTAGATATTTGGTTATACAGAGGCCTGGAAACAAATTTTTAATAGTTCTCATAATAAAATGGATGTCGATAAATATCAAATAAGAAATTGTCAATCAAGTAAGAAAGAGAGATTCTTGTTCTTCTAGCCAAAATCTCTTAAAATATTTTTTTAGTGATTGTATTTTCTATAATATGACTGAACAGAGTGGTAAATTATTAGGCATAAAAGCAATGTTGAAAAAATTCGATAAATGTAGAAAAGATACATTAATATAACTGCATTTGCATCAAATGAAAGATAAATAATGGTAAATTTTATTTTGCTTAATCAAGAATATATTATATCCAAATTATATAAACAATAACTTACATTCGCGCGCGAGGAATTTTTTAAAGTTCTTCTTATCGATCAACAGAGTGATATCACATATTTATCTATCATCGAAAATTTCGATCTAATTAACGTTTGTTAACGATGAATAACATATATTAATGCTGAGAGTAGAACTGCTGAAGCTACGATACAGTAGTCAAAGGAAGAGTCGCGCGTAGTTCACTGTTAGAACGCGGACTCGTATAATTTCCCTTTAATCCCTTAAACACGATAGCGGATGAATACTAAACATACTCAATTAAAGCCGCCCATTCGTGAAAACTTCTGGAATTGGTTGAAAGTAACTTACCCTCGATGGCGGTGCTACTCGGCGTGTCGCCAGAATTATAGAGGTCATCTGAAACAGAAGTTAGAAGTTTATCGGTTGCGGTGGTACTTCTCGGTAGACGGATATTGGGCATGAATTAATTAACGAGTACTTGCGAAACACTTCATTAGATTAAACTTAGATAGCATTCTCGGGCACGTCCATTATTTCACGATCGGGGGTGCCCGAATGACTCGGTTCGATCGAGAACTGCTAACAAGTAAAGTAATTCAGTCTTCGATAATTACGTCTCCGTAATGACCAGCGCCGTAAATGCAATTTAGCTCCATTAAAATACCAAATCGCGTGTCATCCAGCGAAGTAATTGGCATTGATTAAAGAATGAATTCACAAAGAAGATTGCATTAGTTAGAATCAATTGATGATGGACAATGTAAAAAGTAACGGCACGAGAGACTATAAAAAAGAAAAAAGTTAATATGCGAGAAAGAAATGTGAAAGTATAAGAATAAGATGGAGACACACATTTCTCAATGAAAATTATATTTTCATGTTTATATCTACATATATCTATTTTAAAATGCATTTGCATCATTTTGAATGCAAATTACTGTATCAAGTCATAGTTGTATTTCTTGAAGCTCGATAAAAAATAATTTTAAAGATTTGTGTGGATATTTAAGAGCCTGACAATATTCTGCAAAAAAGTCTCTCAGTTATTTTTTTTGTTCAATCAGATGCATAGTAAATGATCGCTCTATAAATGCCTTGTCTTATTAAATATCACCGCCATTGCGGATACTAACGCGTTATAAATTATGAATTTACTTAGAAGTGAGCAATTCAATATTTCGCACTGCCGCAAACGTTTGTTATATAAATATTCGAATGGATTGCCGCCGGACGTTTAATATAGCGAGTAAATTTTACGCAACATCGACGCGAGTCCCAGGCAAATATCGGATTATTCGAAAGTGCAGGCAAATCCACGGAGTAATTTTCCTCGGACGACCACTACGATATTTACTATTAATATTTACCTAGCCGGAACTGCCCTTCGCCTTCCATCCAATCAGCTTTTCATGTCATATACTCATAGTAAACATTAAATCAACGTTAACAAATTTTTAAACAAATACAGTCTAGTATCTTTTTGCGTTAATTATTGATATAAAATGTAAAAAAATAATAATATAAAACAATAAAACAATATACTTAAAAATATTTAATATTTAATAAATTCATTTATGAACTTCATATAAAAAACTATTTCTCTCACTGTTGGATATCAAAGGAACAATGGTAATCCAATTCCTTGAATTAAAAAAATATAATTAATAAAACAAATCTTGCCCTGATGAAGTGGACTGCAAGGTCACGAAACGTTGGCATTCCAAGAATGGATCTGGACACGGAGAAAACCCGCGAAACGCATAATTTTTATTAAAAAATTCTTATTATTTTTAACATTCATGTATGTCAAAGTATAAATTAATTCATTTCTGTGGTTAGTTTTAAGATAAATAATATCAACAACATCTATTATGCATTTAGAAACAATCAACTCAATTTGAATTTAATACATTTTCTTGAGATAAATTATTTAATTGTTTTGGTTAAATTAATGATATATTGAATAGAACAGTAACCGTAGAAATGATTAAAAATATCTCAAATTGGATATAATTTGACATATGAATTTAACAGTACATCTAAAATGTATTTATAGATTACTTAATTATAAAAATAATACATTTAGATTATTAAGAATCATTATTTTAAAAAAGTAATAGTTATTTTCAGATTTATCTCATGTGTTTTTATTTTTTATTTCCGTTTACTTCAAGATTAGAGGAGAAAAGAGGAGACACATGAGTGATAAAAAGAGGAGACACATGAGTGATAAATCCGCTAATATAATATGTTGTTTAATTTTTTTTAACTTGTTTATGCGCATCATTGCTAATTATATTTACGTCACGTGCTAATCTTACACATCTTCGCGCAAGTCGTTAATTTATAAATAGGTATAGCTTTCGACGAAATTAACGATTTCATTTTTGTTCCGAAGATAGCTTTATAATTTATCCGTAACAGTGCATACGAAGATTTCCGTCGGGGATTAAGTTGAATCTAAAGATCAATAAGCGTTCCTGTAATGACCCAATTATTAAGTTACTGGCTGTTGAAGAGTATGAAACTGTAAGGCACCGGCAGTACATTGGTATTCGTAATCCTACACTCTCGCATTCTCGTCCCTCACAATTAGATCGTCGGACATCTGACATTTTTAGATTGGACTTGACTGCGTACAAAAGCGATTGGTAGTACGTCACTCGATCACGTCTGACCTTCTGTTTATATCGGCGCGATTGCGTAGTCTAATGTCTAAACCAGGCTAGAATCAACGTTGAAGAATCGTTTTCTCACGATCGCGGTGCTCTGACCCAAAACCCGGCTGGATAAAGATAGACATCTCGTCGTTAAAAGATATCTAATAATAGATATTCCAATTTCAGACTACTTGCACTTTGACATATTTAATTAAAAATTCATGAATTTATGATAAGAAGAGAAATAATTTTCTCAGAAAATTATTTCTTTTTGTAATTTGATTCATCTACAGAGATCGCAAATATGCAATTTCAGTCTCTTCCGGTCTAAAAACAATTTTATATACTTATCTCTTATCTAAATTTACATACTTAATTTATTTTCTTACAAGATTTATAGCAACTACATTTTAAAGTTCATATTGATTTTCTATATCGTGATATCTCCAGTTGTCAATTCAAATGCTGCGAGGATCATTTTGCTTACATAAAAAGAATTTACGAGCAAAATTGACCGTGCCAAACTCTCTCAAAGGGCATTCGTGCACCTTTGAAATTTTGTATGCAGCAAAGTGAAGATCCAAAGGTTTTCTTAAGACCTTGCCGAGCTAGCACTTCTGACAATATGACTTTACGTTGTTTTGCCATACTATAAGAGTAAAAAGTGATTGGATTCGGGACGTGAGAGGAGTATTTATGAACGAAGAAATTGCCAAGGGTATAAAGGATCGAAGGACGTTCTGGAATGTTTCATAAATGCTTTCGTTCGATGTTACATTCTCTGACATGTGACGAATAAACCAAACACATATTTTGAATCCGGAAACAAAGTGTGAAATAATAAAGCGCACCTTTATATTCCTGCTGCACAAAAAAATTTATTGCATTTTTTTTCAAGAAGTTTTAAAATAATCAATCACATTACTCCAATAGAAATGAAAACGAATCAGATAAGAAAGAAGAAAAAAAACATAAACTCTCTTTTTATCATTAAAAGAAAAATTTATTAATTTCCTACTCGGCACTACTTTCAATAGCATCATCAGTTTTATAAGCGAGATGCAAAGTTTGTTTATAATTTTGAAAACGAAGTTCTAAAGTTTCAAAGTTTCTCGCGATTATTCGTTCTAATAAATTGTAAAGGAAACAATCCAGTTGTAATAGTTTGCCATTTAAAATATAAACACAATATTTGATATGAGATACGCAAAAATTGAAACTTTTTCAAGGAACAAATAATCTTTTCTGTTCTAACAATTAAAGCTTTAACATATTCAACACATGCTTTGAATCAAACGTTCTGACACCAATCGCGGACTGAAAACCCGCACTCAAACAAATTTTTGCCATGTGGCATTTAATTTAAGTTTGCTAAGTATTTGTTAAAGTTTTATTAGTTCCTGTAATGTAATTCGCAATTCCCTTCATATTCCATAGATTAGCGTATCGAATAAGTTTATCACGAGTATTCGATAACTAGTTGTTAGGCTATAGATATATAAAATGAATCAGGCATAATGATCCAACATAAACTGAAATTGAAGGTGTTGGGAAGTGAATGTCGGCGCTAAACTTCTAGTTCGAGTACATTCGCGTCGCACGCGTTATTAAACGAATTAATTTCTGCTAATGACAGGTTGGCCGCAGCAACGAGCAATTTAAGCAATGTGTATGTATATATGTCAAAGGCAACTCCGTTATTAACTCATTATTTATTCGTAGAAAATAAAAAAATACGTACAAAACATTCGGGACATGTAAATCAAGTTATTAATTATTTCAAGAATATATTATTATTGTGACGTGTTTATTAATATAACAACATTTAATTTCCTAGATTAAAAGTATAAAAGAGAAGATAAAATTAATTTCAATATATATTAATATTTTTAGAAAGAGTTATAGAAAAAAACTGATATCAGTAAAAATGTATAGTTCTCGTATTTTTATGATTATCTTTATCTTTGAAAATTGAATCTAAAAAATCATAAATTTATTAAAAATCAGTACGTTAGTTATTCTAGATAATACAATGGGATAATACAATGGGATATTTGGTTTTTTTTTAATGGAAATTTACGTGGAAAAATCTTCGCAATAAATGTATTTCGTAAATACCGATATAAACGTAATAGCCATACAATACAATTCCATGTACACTGTGTACCTATTATTCTATTCCGTATTTCACGCAATTTCCTGTACATTGCATTTCGAGGTGTAATACACCCGTGAGGAAATCAATGATTTTTTTATCATGGTTGATGAACAATATCGGGCATTGCACTCAATTAACTAGAGACAATTACTTTCAATGAGGTTCAATGAAATTCACGGCACGTTCCAAACCAGTTTATTTTACTGCGGGAGATGACACCACACTAAAATGTCTCTATTCAAATCAGTTAGCTGCTTCAAATGATGTCTACTCTGAAAATCATCGCTATTCATCATTGAACACAATAAATGTGCGTAAAAAACGACAAATTTTTCGTACCATTATCAGTGATTTAATCTTCAATAATAATTCTGCCTGATAATTAAACACAATCTATATTTCTTCGTTTCATTCTTCATTTTATTTTATTTTTTTAATGTATTCGATAATTATCATACATAAATAATATTTCTGATATAATAAAATATAAAATATTGATTGAAGGAATAGAAAATATCCTATAAATATTTATATTTGTATTGTAATTGTGTAATCAATCATTATTTATATTAGTTTAAATGTAATATTATATATCTGTTCATCTTAAAAACATTACGCGACTCACTTTTAATTTATAAAGTGTCACTCAAGTACATCGGAAATGCCTCGGTTCAACGAAACGGATTCAGTTGGCTGGTTCCTTTGTTCCTCTTTTGGACTTAGGGATTTTACTCGTGTACTTAACTCGCTGGCAAAAGAACAATCCGTCTGCCTTCTACCTTTATAGAACGTACGCGATTAAACTTTTCTCAACGAATCGAATTTAACTTTCTGCATCGTCCAGGGTAACTACTTTTGTTACTCGTTCACCAACAACCTCGTTACACGTTGAACACCGCACTATGTCGAGATGGAAGTTGCACTCGAAAGAAGAACGAGTTAACTATTGATTCTGAGCAACTCCGGATGAGAGCTCTAATCATAACTGTTATGGAGTCTACCACGCAGTTATTTCTTTAAACATACTTGAAAAAAGAGTTGTATCAGTAACTAGAAATTTGAGGGCAAATAACAATAAGCAAGTTGTATGAACTAAGAAAATATTTAAGTAATATTAACCATTTACTACAAATAAATAATATTATTATATTTTTGAAATTTATTTAATTTATTTACGGTCTCTCTTTCTTTTTACAATGTCCTCAAATTTTTATATGAAGTCTATATAATTATTTATATAGTTGAATCACTATTTCACTATCCATTAATAGTTGACAAATATTGTTGTCATGGCTGTATTTTTACAGTATTCGGTATTACTTTAATTGTTATTATTTTGTAAAACTAGTTGCAGACATTTAAATTTCAGAGTTGTCAATTATCATTACCAAAACTTTTTCTCTTAATACATGAACAATTATTGGCGCTGACAGCAAAAAAAATCGAATGCACATAACTGTCGGCTTATAACATTGTATGTGCTATATATTAATATAATATATACATGTTAAGTATGAATCTCCAAAATGTATAAATTATCTTTCAAAGAGAAATATAGAGAAATATAGAGAATATTATTTTATTTTGTATTATTAGACAAATTAGAAATATCAATTTTTTTGATGGTGGAATTATCGCTTTAAAAAATCGTGAATATTTTTTTAAAAAGACGCTCAATATTAATGTAATTGAGCAAAAGAAGACATTATGATTTTACATTAAAATTCAATTAGTTCTTATATAGGAATGACTACAGGATATCGGAAATCGTACTGGATAATAGAGAAATTTATAAAAAGTCGCTTCAAAGTTTTAACGGAATAACACAATTTTCTCTCTCACATGATGGTTGTTTTTGCGTGTTTTAATCAGAAACGACGGAACCGATAACGAACGAACATACGTCACGAACGTGGTAGTTGTGTCTTTTTCTCATTACCGACATACCGTCTGTACCGTCTCTTCAGTTTAGTTTTTCCGTTTTCTTAGTCATTGTCCTCACCTTCGACACTATTTATGTTTTCTTTTCATTAACGCCGCTCTGTTTGCGCATCCAACATAGTTTCACGTATTTCATTCACCTTGCCACTGTTTCGCTTTTTTATCCACACTAGCTGCGCTGACGAGAGAAGGCAGCCAAAAAGGCACATCCTTCTGGAGTAACGACCGATGATAAAAACACAACGATTAATATCAAGCAATAAAACTATACAACGCGAATGATGACTGTCAATTTTTAACTTCTTTGCTCCCAACCGGTTTTCAGTCGCAAACAACTTTTTACTTTATTTGTAATATAAACGCAAACAAGTCCATCCGAAGAAGAGACCATTCTGAAAATTCGAGCTCCATTTAAACTTTTAAAAAACATTTTTAAGAAAATATCTCATTCAAAAATAATTCATTAAAAAAACAAAGAGAAAAACAAGGCTCTCTCGTGGCAAATAAAGGTTCTGAAAAAAAAGATTAACGATAACGAAATAAACAACCGGTCGTAATTGCTTGCACAATTAATTAATTGTATCGGTGAAATTGCGACGCGTCTAATAAATTTCGTATATTTTTTTAAAGCGTTAATGCTTTTAAAAAATAATAGCAATTGAGTTTAAAATAAATGCACTATTGGCACCAGGCAAACGACTTTTGTTAACGGACCAAATAAATGTTTATGGTTTTCACGACGACGCTCATGGCCTAAAAAATTGATTATTGCAAGTACGCGGGAATATAAGATATTCATGTGGCACAATGCGGACGATCCCTGATCTTATTTCGGAAAACGACAACGTCATTTCTTTTTACGCGAAACTGATTCCGTTCTCTATCGTGTCAGTGATTCTTATCGTAAAATGTGTATCACGCGCATACTAGATAAACAACGCAAAGCAAACAGAAACTTTGTGACATGGTTCCTCTAAGAGAGCAAAAAAATGTAATAGTAAATAAACATTGACGTTTGCAAGAACTCACAAACGATATACACTGAAGATATTTTCGCGATCAATTCGTGAACTCATCGATATGATATGAATACTGTCTATTCATTGAGGAATTTATACGGACGAGTGCAAATGCTTAAAAACATAGTAAACAGCCAAATATAACTGCAGATCGTTTTCGTTTTTCTCGATGCAGTAAATGAACGGATGTAACAATATTATATTTTGGATTATTTTTTATATCTTCAAAAATAAAATCCAATTAATAATTTTATGATTTCCTATAAAAAAAAGTTTATCTCTTACTTTATCTCTTTGTAATAATAATAATAAATGTAAAATATGTAAATAATTATAAATGTAAAACAATAACATGCCTCAGTGGTGGAATTGGAAAAGATACCCGTTCTAGATTATAGTCAGGAGATTCTAAATTCGAATTCTGGTTGAGATAATATCCTTCACAATAAATATATTTGCAGTATTTTGAGATACTAGTAGCATTATTATCAAATCGATGATCAATTTAATTAATTGTGGTATTATTATTTCAGCTTTAGTTTATGAATACGTTTCAAGAAATAAACATCCGACAATAAATGATACGCAGTTTATATAACTAAAAGATATATTTAGAATTTACATATTAAAATATTATTACAATATTATTACACCAAGATCCCAACTATTATATATTGATTCTTTTCTCTTATTAATTTGATTTATTCAAATATTTGCTTTCCCCAATTCATTCAACTATTCCATCCATCATCAATCATTAACCACGTCTCCAAAGAGATGTAAGAAATCAGAACAAATTATTACACGTATTAAGCGAGCACGTACAAATGTTCATCGATTACACAAGTTTCCCCCCTGGTTCTAATGAACACAGAGGGATAATTAAAATTGATAGTCCCGCGTTACGCGTATTACGTCCGATTCCCCTAACGATAGACGGGTGTAACTCGCGCCATTTGACGAATCGAGCGTGAAATTAATTTCGCCATTAGTGCACTTTGACGCGCATTATCGTGCTGCCGCAGCGGAACATGCGGATCGCATCGCGTGGTACCGCGGTATATCACAGTACGCTCGCATATGGAATGAATGCGTCCTACCGTAAGCAATTTTCGCCTCCAAATTGAGCCGGCACTCGTGCCGCGTCATGTACATGTAGGGCTGCGGCTCACCCGGGCACCAGGGCACCGACGGACCGCAAACGCATTTGCCGGCCGCCACGTTTCCGTCCGCGATTCCCTCACCGACCAAGTTGCAGCCGGAACCCGACATCATCGGCCCGTGCGGACAATGCCTTCTCCATCTGCCCGGGATCTCTGAAAAGCGCAACATACATTGTTAGTATCGAGAAATTTACAGTTTTGTAAACATGTATACTGTTGTTGTAAAAATATAGAAATGCTTTTATTTTCCTGTTCAAAAGAATAAAAAATTGGGCAGTATAGTAGTACGATTGGTAATATCATACTCTACACACGTGCATATATAGGATTCTTGTTTCATTTATATCATGATTAATTGATGGCAGCACAGTGATTGTGAATTCGAGATCATAGAAATCGATAGATGGAATATGCGCGATGGTTTTGTGTCGGCTAAGCTAGTTCTATTATTCAGCATGTAACAGAGATTGTACGATTTTATTATTCATTGACCGCAAGCATGTTTCTTCTTTTGTGGATTATTCGATTAGCTCTATAGCGAAACTAATACTCAAAATATTTGCATGAATGGCACGAGAACTGTGTATCTTCTGTGTAAGAGAAAAACATTTTCTATATTACATACATACTTAGCTTGTGCATTTAAATTTATCATGGTCGATAATGATGTTTGTACTCATAATAATCTAAATTATTGCACAGGGATATCTTCACGAGGAGAAAATTCCACATGATATGAGAGAGGCGGTGCGACGTAACGTTGTGCTGTACGAGGGGCTTGAATATAATAGCATGGAAAAATTCTAAATTACGCATCCGTGGCGAATTCACTGGCGGAATAAATCGAGCATCGATAACTGCGCAATTACAAAATCGTCAACATCGCTAGGCATTGCTTACTGCATATACATCGCTCGTCGTCGTCAGGTCTGACAAGGGGGTGAGTACCACGATACCGTCGATACCCGAGGGAGTATAATGCGGTCGCCTAATGAGACGCGGTGTGTACCTGGACGACAAATTCCAATTCAATTGCGTTTACCGCACTAGCCATTGACCGAGAAACATGAAAAAGAGAGGAAGGGAGGGGGGAAGGGAGGGAGGGAGGAAGAGAGAGAGAAAGAGAGAGAATGTTTAAAATGTCGTCGTCGCTATTTCGAAAAAAAAGAATAGCAATTAGCTTACGCCATTCACAAATAACTTCATATAACGAGGCACAGAGAAAGAAGAAAATAGAACAGAAATAGAATCGGGACGGTCAACTAACCGAACAATCAAGACCGAGATTGTTCAATACGAAGGACAGTTAAAGCCTCCTTTGGTGCCATAGCTATGTTGATATTGCCCTCTTCTCCCTTTTACTACTTTCGATAGCACAACCTTCGTTCCAATCGATAAGTTTAATAATCCACAGACGGGTTACGCAGAGAAAATCGAATTTGCTGATCGGTTTGCCCATCAGCTCTTTGGGCCTCCTAAATGTGAATTCATTTCGAGCTAATGATTAGGAAAGCGCTTCTGTCTAATTGTCCATGAGCCAACCAGATATGTGCTATGATATTCAAATATAATCAAACTGCGACGGTTTTCGATTAAGAAAATCGAGGATACTGATACTAGAAGATTGTCCTAAAGATAGGCCGCAAAAGCAACCGAACTACTTTGGCGTTTAAATTCACTATGGAATTACATTTCTTCAAGATAATTTCTCGGTAACGCCGATTCGCGCTCGTAGCCATTAGCAAATTCGCTTTAACGATCCGAATTAAAGTTGGACTTCACAAATTTAAATATTTCGACTCATATCGTATAATTTGAGAATATTTCGTTTTGTTACACTACATTGCACAAAGATACAAAAATTGTGTGATTGCTTATGTACAACTTATTAATTAAAAATCAATGTCAATTAAATTAAATTAATTAAAATATTAATAATATTAATAATATCAATAAAGAGCCAACACAAGTTATTAGTATATGTGAGTTTATTAAAAGAATAATGTAAATATTTCGATTTTGTTTTTAGGTTATTCTGTACGTATAGGTCAATCGGTATTCATCCGATGCATATTTAGATAAGATTTCAAATATAAATCTCAAACAATATAATTAAACATATTTTACAATCTGTATATAAAATAACTGACACAAATTTATTCAATAATTGAGACTATTACATTATGAAACTTCAGTTTTCAATTTCCAGTCGTTATGCTTTGATAAAGCATCAATTATTTTACATGCAGATTGTAAAATTCGTTTATCAGTTAGATTGTTTGCGATTTAGATTTAAAATCTCATTTAAATATGCACGGAGGATGATATAAAAATGCAAGGTCGAAACGTTTGCCATTATTCTTTTAAATTGACATTTTAATAAGCTCACACATTAATAATTTGTGTTGGCATTATTAATATTATTAATATTTCCATTATTAATTAATGTATTATTATAGTATAACATCTCTCAATGAAAAGGTGCAATTTATTGACAAAACATGTCGAAGCTGCCACTTTTAATGCAAATTTATCTCGAATTAATGGACCGTGTACTCAATGATCAATTAGCCGTGACCATTTAGAATGCACATTTCCGCTTTTACGTACATTACGTTGTCGATCTTTCCGGGCATGAAACTCGAGAAGTCAGATTGCACTTACAGTTGTGGACTGTGCAATCGGCTTACTCAGAGGTGCATTTGGTCTCTTGTCCCACCGTCAGTAATCCGTTAAATCGTCAGTAGCCACTTCCCTAATATGTCGACGCTTGCTTACGCCTCTCTCTTCTAAGCTTTTCTTAAAATAATGGTATTTTATATTTAAAAAGAATTGCGTAAAATAATATAAACTATTTTCGCATTGACATACGTGTTTAAAATTTTAACAAAATTAATAGATACTGATATCAATTTGCACTGTCCTATAAATAAATTAAAGATTATAAAAGAGAAATCTTTCTTAAAAGTTTTAATTTAACTTTTAAAGATTTTAAACAAATTGCTAATCTTATTAATATATTATTTTGCATAAATAAAATAAGGATATAATATATATGATAACATTAATTATTTTATCATCACAAAAGCGATATATTATCAGAATATATATTTAAACTTTTCTCATAACAATTCCTAAAATAGCTTAAGCTGTAAAATAATCATGACATTGATATGTTGAAATTTTAAATAAATTAATATTTGTTTATTAAATGAATGTAACTTAATTAAATATAATTTAATTAAATGTAATTTGGAAAAGAGCTAAAGATACTATTATAAATAAATACATACTTCATTCAATTTATCCTAATTTTCAGTAATGGTAACATATAATTACTTTAACTGATATTAAGTCAAAACGTAATCTCATTGCTAAAATATTACTACAACGACATGTATATAATGATAATGAAATGTTTTACACGCTCGTTACTGTAGCACGTGAGTTCATACGATCATATTGTGAACGTCGTACGGAGTATAACGATGTTTCATATAACGCGCGACGAAATGCAGATTTCCGGTAACCAAAGTAAACGAAGTTGTGAAAAATAACGATGCTCCGCCCTAGGTAAGTAACTCGGCAGGGAGAAACGAGAAGCAACTTAATCAACCGACGCGAGTGCATTAAGAGTAGCGGTAAAGAACCAAGCGTAGTTAGAGAAATGCGAAACTAAAGTGGAATTCTAGAAGTGTACTGCTAGATTTTTTGCAAATCTCATCTGCGATGCGAAACACGGAAGAACAACACGTCAGGATGGACCCTTTGGCGCGATGATAATTTATTTTTCTGCATGAGTACACATAATCAATTTACACAATTTGGTTTAATCACTTATCACGAATAATGCCACAGTAATTTTTATAAAGGTAGAAAATATCGCGTTAAGTTTTTAAATCAGTAC